GGTGGAGCAGCACAACCATAGCCAGAGCACCTGGATCCTGCTGCACCACCGCATCTATGACGTCACCAAGTTCCTCGAGGAGGTGAGGTGACGGGGGCTGCGCGCGCCCTTGCGTCCGGCATTGCTCCCTGCCACCAGGCACCCAGCCCAGCCCAGCTTTCAGGCGGTTATTTATTTATTTTATATAAATATTTATTATATCATATGTATTGATTTATATATACTTTATAAGAAAGTGATCTCCCTTTAAAAGACAATCCAGTTTTAAAGTTTGTTGCCCCATTTTTAAAGCTTGTTCACGACCCTTTCCTACTTTCTTGCCACCTGCTTTTGGGTCGCGGCCCATGGGGTTGAAAAATGCAGCCCTAGTGGCAGCTGCTGGCTGGCAGCGCTTGGGTAGTAGCAACCTCAGTGGCGTCTTGCGAGGGAAGCGGGGTTTGTAGGCAAATCTCGCCGGGGTTTTTAAAGGTGAGAAACAGCACCTGTGGGTTTTTCCTCTCAGGCTGGCAGAGTTCCAGCCTGCGGGGGCTGCTTGGGGCCCTCCATGTACTCCTCTGTCCCACACGGGGAGGCCTGGGGGCAGTGGGTTGGGAGTGAGGGGCACTGGTTCAGGACTGGCCATCCGTGTTAACAAATGCGTCCTGGTACAAAAAAGGTTGAGAGCCACTGCTGGCAGAAAGCTGGGAATCTCCCTATGTATGTGTATGTGCTGGTGTGGTGGTGCAGATGGAATAGGCTGCTTTGGTCACCCGTGATTTGAAACAGCTTGTTTGGGTGTCCATGGGCTCTTTCTTTGTCCTTACATCTGCTGCACTTCTCCAGACGTACAGGCCCACCTGTCAAAGCGGTGAGCGTACGCTGCAAAGGCGTTTAAGTCAAAAGCATGTAGTGTTGCAGTTCCACGTGCCTCTGTGCTCTCTGGTGGACACGGTCCGTGTAGGAGCTCTGCCTGAAAAAATAGTTTCACCTGCTGTCGTTGAGAGAAACTTCCAAGGTTCCAGTACTGCACCCGAGGCAGTCAGCTGGCTGCAAAATTTAGACGTAAAATTGTGAATATGTTTCTCTTTGCTTTGTGATCACCCTGTCACATAAGTTACATAAAACGTATTAAAACCTAAACATTAGAAGGAGGAAAATGACTTATTGGCCTTTAAGCTGGACGGTTCAAAGGTTAACAGGGCTTTGACACTGCAGATGTTTTTGCCTTGTTCTGGATCGGGGCATTTTGTAAATCCCCTGAGTAGGGTTGGATGTTGTGGCAATGCTAACATCCAAAGTGCTTTCTTCTATATGGTGCTTTCTGCTCTTGCTGAGTGCTACCTGTGGCATATTTACTCATGCTCCTACAAGCAAGATGCAGCTAACTGATAATGAAATCCTGGGGGTGGAAGGAGCTTTGCATGCAGAACATGAAATCAGTGTCAGTTATTTCAGACTAGGTCAATTTGACATGCAACAGTGTCAGAAATTCTTGTCAGATAAAGCCAGTGAACTTGTGGCTACCAGTGGAATGGTTGCTCAGAAACAAAAAGCTTAAAGGATTTGCTTGTGGGGCGGGAGGAGGGAAATGCAGTTAGTAAATACTGAAGAGCACAGCTTTGTGTGCAGCCATTCCCAAGACAGATCAGCTTTTCAGTTTGTGGTTAAATTGCATCGTTTCTGATCTTTATATGACTGAGGACTAAGTCTCAGAGAAGAAGCTTGTATAAAAAGCAATAAATACATTTTGTGTAAACATTTTTTAACATAAGTTACAAATACTGGTTAGGCACTAGCAGAAGACCTCAAGTCGTTTAGTATGTATTGGTCAAATTGTGATCTTAACTCTGGTGTTAATGAGCTAATTTTGGCTTACTACATAACATGCTTAGAACAAAAGGAGGTTTGATACATTTATTCCTTAAGAGTATCCTTTTAAATGGACAGACTTGAATACAGCACATCATTGTATCTTAATAAAGGAAAGTGTTTAAGAATTATTTTTTTTACCAGCAAAAATATTGGCTTTAATACCATTACATCTTCTCTACAGAAATCAGGCTTTCTGCTATTTCTCTTATGCTTTTAATTTTTTAAGTAATTAGTTCATATTTATAGATATATCCATATATTTATATCATTATCAATATGAGAGAGAGCAGGTATCTAGCCCACATGAAGAAATTGTCTATTACTAAGATGCTGCAACCCTTTTTAGATGTAAATTCATTTGACCATATACTAAAAATAGAGTTTGATCATGGATCTACATGTACACTGTTAAATCCTTCAGAGTTCCTGCTAATATTAGTATTAGGGTAGATTACAGGATTTGTATTTCTTTTGAGGGGTGAAAGACTGGTGACCCCACGACTGCAGTTTTAGGAGTATTTAATGTCGCACACTTTGATAGCTACATAAACTTTTTGTCTGGCATAATGCTGTATTTGCTCATATTGGAGGAAATTGAACAATTTTGGTCCTGCTTTCTGTAAGGAGAAGGATGAAACTCATGAGTTGTGGTTGTCACTCAGGCCCTTTTAAGTGGCTAACACATTTGTAGTGATTCCATACACAAATAAAGGGAGCAGCATAAACACCATCGATATGGTAAACGATCAGTGGTAGGTTAAGTGTTCTTGTTTTGTTGCTGACCCATGTCACCAGAGCCCAAAGACCATCAATTTTTTTTATGGCAGCAGTGAAATAAATGGAAGTACTTGAGCCTGCCTATAGAAACTCTAATGTAGCTCCCTTTGAAGTTTAAAACAGAGCTTTGCTGTTGATTTCACTAGGAACTGGATCAGACACTGATCAATCAGATTTAGTAGAGAAATTGCAGAGCAGAAATAAATAGCAGAGCAGAAATAAATATGAATGTCTAAGATTTTGGATATGATCTGTTCAAGAAATACACTACCACAGTATTTTTAATGAAGTGTGTCTAATTTAAATCTCTTGTTTTAGAGAGATTTTTCTGCTTAATAAAAAATATTCAGCAATAGCATAGTTTTAGAAATACAGTTTTCAAAAGTAAATGGCGACTCTGACTGCTGATTCCAGTTGGTTTTGCACTTGTTGTAAGGTTATACTTTGGGGCCAGTGCAGCTGAACCAGAGGCTGAACAGCTACCTCAGAAGTTTGGAGAAAATTTCAGAAGAAAAATGTTAGTGGAGCGCAGGAATATGACTTTATGACGTCTGGGTATCAGATCACTGTATGGTTGTGTCACTGTCCTATGTGTCACTTCATTGATTTGTTCTGGGTAGAAGAAGTGAATTCATGTAATGTACATTTTCATCAGGCTACAGTTCTGTGTTTTAATCCTCTTCTGGGCAGGAAAGATCAAACACTGGTCCAGTAGGGCACATTGTGTTTACTCAGCTTCAGGTTTGTCATCATGACATACAAGTTTGAGTTCAGAACCTCTACATTTTAAGATAAGGAACAGTATTCTCTGCTATACTAAAATATTGATGAAGTCTGGGGAGAGTTTGGAAACATTTCTAATAACAGTAGTAGAGGAGCATTAAAGTAGTAGTTAGTGGGGCTGACAAACTTGTTCAGGTTTTGAGAAAGGCAGTAATTGCATGTATAGCTTGCTTGCTCACTCTAGAGAGAGATCTATCTGTCTACATAGATAGCTATCTTACTTACTAGGTAAAGCTTTAAACATAAGAGCAAGTGCTATTCTCTTTGCTCCCCTGATTATGGAAAACGGGCCTGAGGCGGAAGTGACTTGTACAAGTTTACAGAGTTATTCAGGGATTTCTAAAATATACTCCCCTAACACAGCTCTTTAGTTTATGTTTCTCTTTGTACATCTAAACTACTTTTCCAAACTTGGCTCAGTGCACAACCCTTTTTCTCATGGTTTTGCTATCACAGACTTTATTTCAGAAAACTCCCCAGAATAAAAAAGGCAGTTCTGGGAGCCTATGGCTGAGGTAGGCAGTAGTAGATAAAGCTGAAATTATCCCACCCAAAGAGCCTGCAACAAATCAAAGCTCCCAAGATGTTCTGGCTCTTTGCCCCTGAAGTTTTCCGTTTCTTATTCCCTTAGTGAATAAAATGTTCCGTAGCAGTGACCTTCTGCTGGATCCAGATTTTTCAAGGCTGAAAGCCCACTTCTATCTCTGAGCCTAGATATGCAGATTTATGGATTTTGCCTTACTTTACCCTGTAAGAAAAACTTGGCATATCAAGGTGGTTAAATGAATAGAGCATTGAACTCTGACACAGAAAAAGATTAGTGACTTGCACCTTTTGGAGGGGTTCAGAAATAAGTAACTGTAGGCATTCAGCCAAGCTGAAAACGATGGTTTCTGAAGTTTGTTAAACTTGTGCTCAGTTATTTTATCTGAAGCTATAATGACTGTTCGTTCCTGTTAGAAATATTGTGAATTGTTGTAACTTAAGGCTTATTCCACAGTAGAAACTTCCCTGTTAATTGGTGACGTGTGTGATCTTGGGTTTGGTGTTTTAGTAGTGGCAGAAGTTCTAAAATAGATAATTGTGAAGATGTTTTTGCTAGTAAAGCTTATTTTACTTAACGCCATTATAAGTGTAGAAAGCACACTTTTGCTTGTGTAAGCTGTGTTTACATGCTGAGGTGCCCTGGTGTAAGTCGATGGGTTTATTCACTTTACTGTAGGCCTGGTCAAAGATTCCTAGGATCAAGAGATACTAACATCTTCATTAAAGAGTAAGTTTTGGTAGTAAAATGTTCTAACAAAGTATAAACAAATATCCGGTATAATCTAAACAAAATACAGAACTTGAAAAGGGGCTTAAAATAGAACTTGGGAACTTGATTTTTGATGCTTTCTAATGAAAAAGTAACTTTTAACATTTGGTTAGTGGCAGCAATGATGTCTCTTTCATTTCATAGATTCATAGAAGTTAGGGGCTAGAAGGGACCGCACAAGATAATCAGGTCCAGCCCCCTGCTCTAAGGCAGGAAAGACTGCTGAAGTCAGATGACCCCAGCAAGGTATGCGTCCAGTCATCTTTTGAAGATCTCCAGGGAAGGTGACTGTACCACCTTTGTGGGGAGTCTGTTCCAGACTCTGAACATGCAAACTGTAAAGAAGTTTTTCCTTATGTCTAATCTGAAGCGATCTTCTATCGGTTTGTGACCGTTATTCCTAGTCTTCGCCTGGGGTGCCTTGGTGAACAGATGTTCTCCTAGTCCTTGATGTTCGCCCCTTATGTACTTGGCTGCCAAGCCCCCGCCCCGCCCCTGAGTCTTCTCTATTCCATGAATGGGGGTGGAGTTTTATGATTAGTTTAATTATTTTTCACAGGGTCCTGAACACTTTGACAAAGGTGCCATTACCTTTCTCTCTAGTTAATGATGCTGATGACATACTCTTACTAATAGGGAAAAATTTGGAACACTTAAACATGTTTAACTGGGGGGGTGTGGGGTGTGCGCGTGCGTGCATGCTCTCCTGGCTGTATGGCCCAGTGATTGGCTGGAAAGTCAGTGTCGTTGTCTAAGGCTTGTTCTGCCATGTAGCTTTGCTAACATATAGGTAGAAAAAATGTTTCCTTTGACATACAGTTACATTAGAAGAACCCTTGAGATTTGTTCCATTTGAGAAATGGGTTTAGCTTGAAGCAAAAAAAGCAGGCATAAGCTGTATTTGTGGTTAGACATAGATTGCCATAGTAATTTTTACTGTCAGTCTTGGCAAACAGTGAAACATGCACAAAACCTAATTTACTTGCTTTAGGCAAGGAGTGTCTGTTTTGGGCCTGGTCTGACAGCACACTGAAATAACTGTCAGTCTTTGCATTAACTGGAGCGGACTTTGGACCAGGCCCTAGTATGTGCATATAAACATGTGGTCTAGTCAGGTGAATGAAGAGCAGCATAAAGTCACTTCCCTTTTGTTGTTTGTGTAATTTTCATTAGAAAATCACTTCCATAAAAAATGTTTCCATTTCCTTCTTAGGAAGTTACGGCCTAGATCGGGGGTCAGCACCTCATCGTCTGCAGGCTGGACCTGGATCCTTTGGTAGGAGAGGGCTTTGCTTGCTCTGAGAGTGGGCAGAGAGTAGTGGCAGTGGTTGGGGTCCTAGCGTCAGCCTGTCACCAGAAACCATTGCTGACTAATGGTTTAAGGAGTACCCTATTTGCTTGCATACCACACACTCCCACACAAGAAACCTGCTTGATTTTGGAAGGTGGAATGTAGAGAATTTGTTTTTTTGTTGGTTTCCTGGAGTCGTAGCATACAACCGGCTTTTCATGAAGACATCCTGCTTCAAAATGCCTATCTGTTTCTCTTTTCCTGCTAGCAAGAAGGGGAGGTGCTCACTGCCTCTCTCAAATTGGAAGCAGTTTTTTGCTGTGCCCCTCTTGCTTGCTAGCAGGGTGGGAGAAGTTGGCAGCCTTTTTGAAGCATAGTGTCTCGAATGCTGGTTCTCCATGCTTCTGCCCTGGTGAAGAAAATAAGGTTCCATACTTAAGGTACATACCCCTATTTTTGCAGGACTGATTTTTTTTTTTGGGGGGGGGGGGAGGAGGGAGAGGGGAAAGGTGTGTAGGTGTGATATGACAGTAAATAGAGTATTTATCAGTGTAGTACTGCAGTTAATAGCTGATAAACTGTTCATGGCTCTGGGAGCCACTGTGGCTATTTGATGTGTGTGTTGTGATATAAACATACACGTAAAAATTAACTTTTTTGAACTGGACTAACCCTTTCTTAGCATGAGTTATGCACACAACTAGCACAGTCTCATGGACAGCAAAGTTCAGTCAGTTAAGCATGCTATAAATCTCGTGGCAGTGACATTTAGTGCTGCTCATTTCTAGACCTTTGTCCTGTCTCTTCTCTGAATAGTTATCAGAACTGATTCAAGGGCAGGATTTGGTACGAGTGCCATACTTGCACGTCAGTTTGCATAATCTCTCCCCTGCACGCACTCTCTCAACTTTTTTTGGCACAGTTACTCTGTCTAATCTTTAGTACTTGCACTTTTTAAAAAGCTCCCTCTTTTTGCTTAGTCACCATGGATATGCTCTGGTCTATTCGTTCTGGGAAGCTGTAACTTAAAAAAGACCAAAAAACCCAACCTTTTAAAATTGCATGTGTAAACACTTGTTTACAAAATAAGAAATGAGTTCAGCTGTTAGTCATTTTTTTGATTTTGTAGACACCATTTGAAACTTGCAACAGTGGCTTCCTTTTGATTTCCATGACCAGGAATATTTGATTTATAGTTTGGGAAGGGATATAGGCAGTAAAACAGTTATGAGAAAGCGGGAGTGAGAACTCTCTAAACCTCACAGAAGTAGCTGATGTTTCTGAAAGCAGTGATTCCTCTGTTTCAGACACAGCATAAAGAAGGCCTTGCGTTCCATGTTGCGTAACATTGGCTGTATTTGGCTAATAGCAGGAAGCTTTGTCTAATAATTGATTCAGTACCTAGTGTTTTTCCGCTCTCTCAAATGCAGAATTCTCTCCCAAATGTTAAAAGCTCATTAAGGTTGCAAAGTGGAAAATTTGGAAGCGAGGAAACATTACCTTACGTTGCTAAGGTAGTCTGTATTAAAACATTTCTTATTTGTGAGTGCTTGATTTTTAGTTCTTTGAATGTAGTGCACGTTATATTGATGCACATGGTACATGACATCTTGTTTCTGTTCCAGTGATTGAAAGTGGTAAACCTTGCCTTTTTGGACAATATTTGTTTTCATAACTCTGACCCAAGGCATTCATTAAGCAAATGTAATTAAAGTGCATTAGGATCCAATGTCTTGTATGGTATCCCATTAGAAGTATGGTATCCCATTTCCAAATCTAGAGTGAGAGGCTTTTTTGGCATATTCCTGTCTGACTTGTATTGCCATGTGTGACTTCTTGGTACTAGAGAATATAATCCTTGTGAACTAGAAAATGTTGGATCTCTTTATACTTTCGGCTTCACTGTTGCTGAGTTCCATCATACATGTTCTACAGGATGGTGGGGACTCATTGCCACTACTTGGAAAGTACCAAGCTTGAAGAAACTTGGTAAATCCTTACAAGTTTGTCTTGAGGAAAAGGAGTAGTCATTTGGCTGGGTTAGCGGAGCGGAGAGGAGGCCACGTAGATTCGATGTCATTTTGCAAAGCAGTTATGTAGCAAATACCTTTTAAGGTAACGCTCCTCATTGTCCTCTGCGGATCATGCCCCCAGAGAGTTTAAATGTATGTTGGGCGGAGGAGGGGGGTATGGGGTAAGGTATTGGTTTTTTTTCTCTGGTGTCATTCTCAGTGACCTAGTGCTCCCTTCTTTCCTTTAAGAACAGGCAGCCAGTCTTTGCTTCAAGCAAACTGCTGGCTGTTCATAGGTGCTGGCAGCTTTAAATGTCACTTGTTTGATTATTTTACTTGTTATAGTTGGAAGAAATAACTGAAGCACAGTATGTTATTGAATTTTTTAAAATCATTGTATGGCATTCAGTCGGCTATAATGGACTTGTTAAATTGTGGTTGAAAACTACAGCATGGGAAAAATTAAGTAGGTATTAAATATTCAGTGTACCTTTAAGTTACCTTAATGAGTTGCAGTAAGAGTTAAAATACAAACTTGCAAAAGAACTGAAATTCTATTCATTGCAAGTTTTCAAATAGTTGGCCTTTGGTTTAGATTACAGATGCTAAGGAAACTCTAGATATGTAAAGCTTTTCATAAAATTAAGTAAAAGTCCTTATGTGTCCTAACTGTTGTAAGAGTCCCCACTATCCAGTGCATTAGGATTTGTTTGGGCTGTTGCCAGAAGTATAAATAATGCCCACATGTTAGTAATACCTGCATTATTTAAAAACTAATTTTGTTTGCCATGACTCGTATAGTTCTGACAAAAGTATATGATGCTGTTTGTAGCAACTATAGTCACCCAGTTGGAGACTTCGAAGAAACTAGTTAAAACATAGGAAAGAAATCAAAGGTGAGGGTGAATTTAAAAGCAAAAAGAGGGTGAATTTAAAACAACATCCCTCACATTCTGATTTTTTGAGAATGTGTAAGTTATGGGTTTTTTAAATAGAATATCCTCTGAAAGGCACAAACCAAACCCACCCACAATCTTATTTGACTTTTAGAAAATCATGCGATTGGATTTCCAGGATCAAAAACTGACTTCTAAACATTTTTCCTACAGCATCCAGGTGGTGAGGAAGTCCTAAGAGAGCAAGGTGGAGGAGATGCCACTGAAAGCTTTGAGGATGTTGGTCATTCCACAGATGCTAGAACACTGTCAGAGTCATTCATTATTGGGGAGCTTCATCCTGTGAGTACATCATTTTAACAGAGTATAGACACTCACCACTACACACAGATCATCCCTTCTAGGGTTCAGAAACTTCTGTAATTGTCTAAAAATAGCGTGAGTGGTAAGTAGCTGGTTCTAGTCATATCTTTTCCCAGCACTGGCCACCTGTAGATGAAACTAGAACAATCTTTCCTGGTCCAGCAGAAGAAGAGATTGGAGACCTGTGAAGCGCGCAGATGACCTGATGTAAAATTCTGTCATATATGTGCATTTGCTTTCCCTTGGATTGATGCTTTTCCTCATATTTCATAAGGAATATGATGTTCTGCTTTCCCCAGTCTGTGTAACAGGAGATGCATAAATATGATGTCTGATCCTTGAAGCCAGTACACTTGTGAATTTGCCTAAATCTTCTGTAAGGTTTTGAAGAAAACAACTAACCAGCAGTGGCTTATCTGCACTCTGGTTGTAACCTTTAGCAACGGCAGTCCTAGAAATCTATTCATAATTAAGCACATGTTCTGAAGTACGTCCATATTCCGAGAAGGGATTGCTATGGATACAAACTGTACAGGGTGCTTTCCAGTTTCATTGTCCAAAGTGTGATGCCTGTGTTTGGTTCATGGTATCAGCCTCTCTGCACAATGAAACTGGAAAGGACCCTGTATAATCCAAGGAAAAAAAACCTAATCTGTGGAGTGGTGGTTAGAGTATGGCGTGAAAAGTCGGAATGATACAGGTTCATGCCTCTTCGGGTGATGGGGGAGACCTGCTCTTGTCTGGAGTACTGTCATGGATGGGTATATCTTGCTTAGGAAGGTCAAGGAAGGGGAGTGAAGGACGGTGGTGTTGCTTCATAACAGATGTGTTTGTTCTGAGGTTCCATGCAAGGAGGGAGGTAGAGCTGTTCAGAGTTTCTGGGTTAAGGTCAGAGGGGAGAACAGGAGCACATACCCATCATGCTGTCACCTCTCTAAACCACCAGACCTGGAGGAAGAGGTGAAGGAGTTCTTCTTTAAACAGCAAATTTCAGGGTATCTCTAATTACCGTGACACCTGCCAGAAAGAAAACACAGCAGTGCAGAGAAAGTCCAGTAAGTTCTTGGAGTGTGTTAGGGATAATTTGGTGTGTGGGAGGGGCACAAGGGAAACTCTTCTTGACTTGCTGCTCACAAACAGGGAAGTATGAGAATGTGAAGGTGAAAAATACCTTGGGTGACAATGACCATGAAATGATACAGTTCAAGATCCTAAGAAAAGAGGAAGGAAGAAGAGCTGCAGAAAAAAAAGACACTGCATTTTGGAAAAACAGATTTTAAGGAGCTGGGAAAGACCCCTGGGAGGCAAGTCCGGTGAGAAAAGAATCCAGAAGAGCTGGTTATGCTTTGAAAAGATCTTATTAGGTATGCAGGGACAAGTTATCCTGATGTGAAGAAAGAAAAGGAAGTGCAGCAGGGGACTGGCTGGGTTAAACAGTGAACTCTTCAGTGGGTTGAAATTAAAAATGGAATCCTACAAAAAGTGGAGACTTGGCCATAATGTTAGGTTAGAGTGCTGTACAGGCTTGCTGGGAGAAGGTCAGGAAGACTAAGGCATGATTTCATGTGTAACTAGCCAAGGACATAAAAGGCAATAGAAGGAGACCCTCCAGGTAGGTCAGGAGTAAGAGGAAGACCAAGGTATGTGTAGGGCCCTTAGTCAATGAAGGGGACCTACAGTACGAGATGACACAGTTGGCAGCAAGAATAGGGATGAAGACACCCAGCCTAAAGTAAGTAGAAAAACAGGTTAGAATTAATGAAGAGAAGTGAGGTTACAGAATGCATGCTACAGTACTGAAGGAATTTGCTAAGGTAACTTAAGAACCATTGGCAAGTCCCTTTGAGAAATTAAGGAGGTCAGGTGAGGCCCTTGATAACTAATTATAACATAATTAAAGGGAAGGAGGAGGATCTGGGTATTGCACACTAGTGGGTTTGACTCAATACCTGGAAAGATTGTGGAAGAGACCAAGGTGATCAGAACAGCTAGCCTGGGTTTATCAAGAATAAACTGTGCTTGCCCAACTTGATTTCTTTGTATGAAAAGGTAACAGGTTAATGGATTGGCGGGGGAAGGGGAGGGGGAGCAGTGAAAGTGATAGACCTGGAGTTTAGTAAGATAAGAAAATATAGTTGATGAAAATTACTAAAAGGTGGATATAACTATTTGGATCATTGTTCTCAAATAGTCATCAGTGGCTCAACATCTAGTTGGAAGGAGGAATCAAGTGGAATTATGCAGAGGCCTATCCTGGGTTTGGTATTATTTAGTGTTTTCATTAATGGTTCAGAGGATGAGAATAAATGAATGTTATACACCAAGTTAGTTGGAGTTGCAGATACTCAGAAGAATGGAGCTAGGTTCTCGAATGACCTGGATAAACCAGAGAAATTGTCTGAAAATAATCAAATGTAATTCAACAAGGACAGGTAAAAAATCCTTCACCTGGGATGGAGCAATTGCCTATAGAAATATAGGCTGGGGAATCTTTGGCTATGCTGCAGCACTGCAGAGAAGGACCTGATTGTTACAGTGGATCTTAAACTAAATGAGACAACAGCGTGTTCTTGTTGCAAAAAAAGGTCAACAACAGACTGGGCTATATTAATAGACGTGTCACAGTACAAGGGAAGTGATTCTGCTCTATTCAGCCACTCAGGCCTCACTGGAGTACTGTGTCCAGTTTTGAGCATCATACTTCAGGAAGAATGTGGACAAGTCAGAGTCCAGCAAAGTCACAAAAATGATTTAGAACTCTGGGAAACACGATTTACAAGGAAATGCTGAAAGAACTAGGATTATTTAATCTGGAGAAGAGAAGGATAAGGGGGAATTGATAAAAGCCCTCAAATACCTGAATGGTGGCTATAAAAAGGATGGAGATAGGGTATTCTGTGGCTTCAGAGGACAGAGCAAGGAGCTATGGTTTTAAATTGCAGCAAGGGAAATTTAGATGGGGTATTAGACCTTTTTCATTTGGGGGCGGTCAAGCACTGGAACAGGAAAACTGTAGAATCTCCATCCTTGAAGTTTTTAAGAGCAGTTAGACAAAGTTGTCTAGGATATTTTAGACAAATGCTCCTTCCTCAAACAAAGAGTTGGACTAGGTGACCTCCTGAGGTCCCTTCTAGCCCTACTCTTCTACGGTTCTATATCTGTGCCATTCAGTCCTTGGAATAAAAATGTACTTGAGAATTTATGCTTCATTCCTTAAAAGGTTTCTGGGATTGTGGTTATTAAGGATTCCTGTAATAACCGCAGTGTGGATAAAAAAGCTATTTGTGACTTTTTCCCTGACCACTCTTTAAGGATTGTTGAAAACATCACTGCCTTTGTGCTGGTAACTGGGGTGTTACCAGCACAGGTCGTCTAAATCTCTCTGAACCTTTCTGTGTAGCATCTAGGATATTAGCTACAAAGGCAGTGGATATTAGCTTTTCTGTTTATTCAAAGAGTTAACTCGTATGATCTTGCACCTTTTAGCTGTCCAAAATGCCACAGCAGAGAGAATTTTCCTAATCTGCTTTTTTTTACCAGTTTTTCTTAATTTCACATCTGTTTTGTGGCTCCCCCTTCTCTTTTGTATCAAACATAGGGTATTTCGCTTTGGTTTCAAGGCACTGTATGGCCTCTCTCCATCTTACCATAATTCTCACTTGCTACTGAGATGTTGATGCCTGTGTCCAGACTATGTTGCTAGTTTCCATGCACACTTAGAATGAACATGCGTGTTAGATCTTCTTTCTTATGCTGCCCCGTATGTATTTCTATGCATAGACTAGGAGCCTGTGTCTTCTAGGGGCAAAGAGAATGCAAATATGTTGGCTTAGGGAACCTTGGCCTACGTTGGAGAGCTACATTTCGTTGAATAAAGAAACATGATAGGAATTTTGTAAGCAAGCAAGTAAATCTTGATAGATCCCATCTATTAAAGTAACTTAGTTGTACAGATCTCTTCAGTTATAGTTAAACTACTCTTGCAGCAAACTTCCTGGCCCGCTCCCCCAGAATCAAACAGATATGTACAGTATGGGAGGACCACGTAACTGAAATGAATAACCTTATGACTTTTCTGTTGTACGTTTTTATCTAACTGTCATTTATTTTCTTTCAGGATGACAGAGACAAGGTTCAGAAACCAACGGTAAGTGCTATTTCTTTTGAACCTTCAAATCCAGTATTTCTTCTGAATGCCAACATGTCTGCATAGTGTGCCAAAAACCTCCTGCCACCAGGCTGGAGTGGTTAATACTACTTAAACTTAGTATTTTAGGTCATTTACTTGTCTTAAGATCCCCTAACTTCCTCTGTTTTGGTCAAGATGGCACCATGCTGAGTCCTGGCTCTGCGGGTACCAGTTATTAAATCACATTTACAGGGAGCTGCTTTTGGGACACACGTGTAGATACTCATATGCAGCATGGACATGTGGTATGTCGGTATTTGTGACTTTATGATCAGTGTTTCAGATTGGCCTTCTTTGGGACTTCTCAGACAGCCCAAAAGATACTTCAGCCCTAGTTTTGCTATGGAGAAAGTGCTGTCAAGTACACAAACTAACCTATTTTGTGGTCACTTAATCAAAGTCTTGGATACAAATACAATTTTTCAGGTAGAAGTGATTTTAAATTTCTTGCTAAAGTTGATGTCAAGAGCTGAGCATAGCTAAAGGTTTTCCAAGTGCCTTGACATCTGCATTGTGGTGCTTAGGAATACTTCTCAAATACTATAACAAGCATGAAATGTTTAGCACACTTAAGTAGTATGGATAGAGTAGGAATGAAATTAGGATAGAATCATCGAAGATCAGGGCTGAAATACATCTCCAGTCATTAAGCTCAAGCTCCCAGCTCAAGGCAAGCACAGCCCTGTCTAAACAATTAGATGCGAGATCATAGTCTAAACAAGCGATTCTTGATCAAGTGCCTTGAATTCCTTTCAAGGGTGCCACTGTTAGGTGTGCAAGCATGACTCAAAGTAAACCTGAGGATTTCAAATAGGAGTCCGTAGTGGTAAAAACGTTCGGTGATCTTTCTGAATTCTTTGGAACAGAAGAACTGCTGTTTTTTTTCTGTAGTCAAAAACTGAGTGAAAACTAGGAACTGGCTTTTTGGGGTTTTTTGAGGGGTACCTGGAGTCTAAATCTAAACCATCAGATGGGAGATCATGTACCACTCACTTGTTACTATTCATAAAGAATTTGTTATATTCATCAGCCTACCTGGATTTTGCTTTTAAAGTTTTAAATCTACCATAGTAGGACATGCACCCATAATCTTTGGAAGTACTGCTAGTTTATAAAGAAGTTTATAAAGAGTTGCTCATGTGGTACCAGCAAGTTGGAAGCAGTGAGTTACTGGTGCCACTTGTTTAAATTTCAACACCTATAGTCCTGTTGCTGTCTTAAAATGATCAGGAAGCCATTGTTTATATGGTGCGGTATTGCATCATAGACCATGGGTAGGAGTTCAGAGAATTGCTGCTCTTGTGGTAGAAACCACTAGCACAAGACATTCCAGTTTTTTCGTCTTGGAGCAAAAATGGCTGCTTCGGGAGAAAAATAACTTGTTTACAGCAAGGTAGAAATCACTCCTGGGAAACTGACTCTCTGCATACTTTTCCCTGGCTTAACTTCCCCCAGGGATCCAGGAGAAGCAGAGCCAGGGGAAAGCCTCCCCTGCTTTCCTGAGATGGGGGTCACCCCAGCCTGGAGAAGGTGTGGAGGAAGTAATGGCTCCCACCTGTCATATAGACTAGGAGGTGAGGGAAGAAGCAGCTGCCAGCTAGTCCTTAACTGTTTCTTATACCAGAGTCCTTGGTATGAGGATCAGGCAGGAGGCTTTGCCCTGCTGCTCAACTACCTGGGGAGAATGGGAGGACTAGAGCAGCCCACACTGTACCCAGACTGAGATCACTCTAGTCTTGGGAAGGCACAAGGAGCAGGAGAAAACGAGTGGTTGCAGACTGAACATCTGGACTGTTTCCTCTCAGAATAATTTCTAGCAGTGGAAAATTTCCACCTCTGGAGTTGGACATTTGTACATGGCCTTGATGTGCTCCTCTCCAGTAAGACAAACCCTAGTTTTTAAAAAACTTGTTACATAATGCACGTCTTGTTGCACTAATCAGACTCTGTGCTCTTTGAGGGATTACTGTGAGACTGGTAAGAATTACAGTATTTTTTTTTAATCTCTAAAATAGTTTTTATGAGTTAGTTCTCTTCCTGTTGAGTCTTAAGATTCATGTTGGAGTTCTGCTCTTGCTGCTTATTAGTAGAATTTCAAATTTGATATGGATTTTTCTTGCAAGTTTATAGTATGTAAAAATTGTCTCACTTAGGCCTTGATTCATGTTACACTTAGGAAGTGTTAACTACACTTAAACCAAAAGCATCCATGTGTTCAGGAAAAAGTGTTCCAAGAGCTATCGTATGGTATTAAAGTTAGTATTTTTTGGGTGAGGCGTATATCCAGGTGGTGTTAAGTAATACATGCTTTGCTATCATGGGACTGCTCCACGGAGATAATACTATTAGTCTTCACCGGTACCAGTGTGGTGTTGGGACTGGCATCAAAAAATAGCTGTTTATCAGATGTAGCCCTCACCCCCCCCCCCCCCCCGCCCACC